GGCAAATTTAACACTTCATAATGACTAAAAATATTTAAATTAGATTAAATTATTTAGATGAGTAATTACTGATACGTACATGTTGTTCAGGAATTGTATATTACGTACATGTAGATTATATGTACTAGTTTTATTTCGAAGTGTCGTCAAATTAAAAAAAAAACTATTCGAAATAAAAGTATGATTCATCCACGCTCGAGTACTTTTTTAAAATAACTAACTCTCCCTAAATACCCATTAGGTGAGATCCGAGCAACCGTGAAGTTGACTTCAAATCATAATATGTTTACACATAGTGTGTACAGAAATGCTTGAATTTTGTTTTTTTCTGTAACATTTTTTAAACAATAATAAACACATGATTTAACATGCAATGAAAAGACAAGGACATTTTACATCAAGCAAATTTGTGCTTTTCTATTTTTATAAAATTCATTTTTTTGAAAAAATCTCACTCATGGCCAAGGGCCTGTATAGAGTGATGAATACTGTAATCAGATCGACTCGAGACATGATATATTGCTCTACGCAAATGAGCATGCGCGTATTATTAACGGTACGTACCGTTACAATATATCATATAGATCCAGAGGTTGCACTGTTTTTATGTTTTGTTTTTTGCGGGCAACTCGAATGACCGGTCTATCGCACAGAGAAAATCACAAGTTAGTATTGCTGATAATTGACCTCCATTTCTATCAGCATTAGCAGACTCATTTGGGAAATGTACACAAATGGCGCCACCACAGTGCGACAAGATGCGTTAATTATATATTTAGTTAATTATACTAGTATTATACTAGTAATACACCACTTCCACAAATTGAGCTGAAAATGTAGTTGATCCATTAAATGCGCATGCGCTTGCGTAAATGGTAAAGGTGTGCCTATGGTCAAAATAAGGTCATATTTTATTGATCCATCATACAATATATATATATATATATGTTCGTTTATATGAGTTTCGACTGCAGATGCGCTCCCAATAAAGCAAATACGGTATCTGTTCTTCGGAGTACTCATATTACCAACACATACATTATTTACTCCACCCAAGAATAATTTCACTGCCCACTATTTCCACACACATACAGAATCGTAAAACAAACTGTAAAAGGCCAACTAACGTAAACAACACGACGCATGCGCCATTCATAATACTAACCCGGATACATAGTTTAAATATTCAGCTATCGCCTTATCGCGAAAATTCGGTTTCCTTTAAGGACTGGGAAATGGACATACAACTTATTAGTAGTAGTGCTATTAATAGAACTGTCGTGCACTGCTAGAAATAAATTGTCTGACCAATATATCAGACTGAAGGGGCGTAACCTTTTCACCACTAGACTTTCTTGCCCAAAGTTTTCTGCACCTTTTTTCTTATCTTCTTCAATATTTCTGGAAATGAACCCTAATTTTAGAGCCGACGGACACAATTTGAGTCAATTTTCAGCATTTACTCAAAACAATTGGATATTTTTGTTTCAATCTTCTGAAGCAAAGTGCAGACTATGAACGGGACTATTTTGTGAATTTGTAATGAAAAGAGGGAACTAGTGGTGAAAAGGTTAATGTAAATATACCGTATTTTGATATTATTCCCGTCTCAGATCACTTATCCTCGGGGGCGGAGCTACGTCATAGACGTTCCACGTTGCTACGACGCGCACCACTGTACATGCACACACACACTACGGGCTCTGTGCGCGCTGCTGTGGAACGCCGGTGGAGCCGGTGAAAATTCGAGAAAACAACACAAACTCAACTTTGAAGTAATCCCAAACAACCAAATTTATATATGTTACACACGTAGGGCTAATCTTGTTACACTGTTCAGAGGAGTTTCAACAATCTTCCCAAAGTACCGTTTTCTGCGAGTTCTGGGCCTTTGTTTTCACCGCCGCGGGTTGCCAGGCGATGAAAATGCCCGGATGTCCGCCCCCGAGGATAGAGTGAAATGCCCCATGGGATCACTACAATTTATACTGGCACCATTCATTTAGATTAGCGATTGTTTGGTGATCTAGAAACCATTTGTCTTTGTTCCTTTAATTTAATATACTTTACGATTGCCGTCGTTCGTTTTATTTCCAGTACTCTTTCATACTGTATCCGACGATAGAGGGCGTAGTTCGTGTCAAAATTCACATCCCTCCAAATTGTACCTAGGACATTTTCACACATTTTAAGATATTTTGTGACGAAATATCTAAATCAGAAAGTATGTAATGAAGATCAAAATGATATGGTTTTTAAATGATGATATTCTGTACAAAGCAGGATGAAGTGATTGCCATGTTGTTATGGTAACACATATATACACTTATTAACCAAAGAGCACACACACTAAGGCACTCTAATAACATTTATTAAAATTGCCTCTTGAAAAATAGGTTGTTACAATGTTGACTAAATATGAGTCAATATGCTCACATAATTATCGATTATCTGAAATAGTATTCATCCTGTATTCTTCGTTTTATTGATTGAAGGTTGTTGTTTTTTTGGCTTAGTTTTTGCACATAACACTGACCTCGCTCGAATGAATTAAAAATATATTATTTGATATGAAACAAAAATCAAAATCAACAACAATTGTATGTTTACCTAAATTTCTTTCTCCTATGTGAAGATTTGTTCTCAATGCAAAACTGTTACAAAAAGCAATAGTATACAATATTTCGCCTGTTGAATTTCTCATTTTTCTAATAAATTTTAAGAGATGATGCCAATGTGTATTGGCCATGGCATGATTTTTGTTTACAACAATGAATTACAGTCTCATTATTTTTGTTTTTGTTTTTTAGTATGTGTATTACCGAATTACCTAGAATAAGCAAAGTCAAATAATCCTGAAGTAATGTCATCTTTCCACACAGATACTGAAGAATTGTTGTTTGTGTGTGTGTTTTTTAAAAAAAACTACAGATTAAAAAATAAAAAAAAATACTATTAGCAATACAAAACTTTCACAACAGACTATGGCGGACAATTCTTCTAGCTAAACAAAATAACTAGTATTATTTTCTGTTTCATCATCTAAATGATAACATTGTTTGTTCTATCAACAAACACAGTAGACTTTATTGGGAGAAATAGATATAGTTTACGTGGTGGCAAATGTGATGGATCAAATATTGAAATGTGGGGGAGAGCAAGTATGGTCAAAATTATTTTAAAGATCTTGATTCTGATATGCTGACCTCACATCAGTTCCATTTTCATGCAAATGCCCCTAGCTAGTATTAGGTGTGCATGGTTTACATGGTCGAAATATAAAAAATGGGGAATTGACATAATAATTAATATCCATACAGAGAATACACAATGTTTTTTTAAATGTACTACTGGTCCAGACGTTCATCAAGAGAGGAATGTTTATGCCAGGCACAACACTTTTCAATCAACTGCTACCTCCTCATCTGGTTCAGGAGGACTTTCTGCTTCATCCTCATCAGATTCTTCTGTTTTCTTTTCCTTGTCTGTATCTTCATCTAGCTGTTCATGCTCTACTTCAAGAGTTTCTTCCACTTTTTCTGAATCCTTCTCTTTCTTCGCGCTTTTCTTTTCCTTTTTGTTTTTCTTCTTTCTTGAAAAGAAGCATGAAGATTTTACTTGATCTTCTTCATCATCTGTGTCTTCATTATCAGATCTGGATTTGTTCAAATCTGGTGTATTGGGTGCGGATTCCGCTTCAGATACGTCTGGTGAATCTGACTTTTTGCTTGATGCCTTTTCTTTCTGTTTCTTTTTCTCTTCTTTCTTTTGCAGCTTTTCTTCTTTCTTTTGCTTCTTCTCTTCTTGCTTCAGCTTCTTCTTCTCTGATTTAGACAGTTTGGCTTCACCCTCTTCATTCAAATCAGTGGTATCCAACTCCTCTGTTTTGTCTATGTCACCATCTTTCTCTTTCTTTTTCTTTTTCTTGTCTTTCTTTTTCTGTTTCTTGTCTGTCTTGGGGGTCTGAACCTCATCATCACTTGACTCACTTTTATTCCCTGTTTCAGTTTCAAGCTTTTCCATTTCTTTTTCCGATTTATTAGTATCGTCTTTTTCTTTTTTCTTTTTTTCTTTCTTTTCTTTCTTTTCTTTCTTTTCTTTCTTTTCTTTCTTTTTCTTTTTCTTGTCCTCTTTTGCTGGTTTTTCTTCCTCTTCTTCCTTTGGCTCGCTGATATTTGTGGGTTCTGTTTCCAGTTCTTCTGTTCCATTTTGGGTTTTGTTAGTATCATCTTTTTCTTTCTTTTTCTTCTCTTTCTTTTCTTTCTTTTCTTTCTTGTCTTTCTTTTTCTTTTTCTTGTCAGATTCTTCCTTTTGTTCGTCTGTCTTTTCTGTCTTAACATTCTCGTCCTCAGCTAGTGGTTCTTCTACCACTGTTTCACTTTTGTTTTTATCTTTTTCCTTCTCTTTCCTTTCATCTTCCTTCTTTATCGTTTCAGTTTTGGGTTCTTCGGGCCCTCCTTGTTTAGTCGTATCTGTGCTTGGTGTTTCAATGATTGGTTCTTTGTTTTCAGTCTTGTTCAATTCTATGTCTTTGTTTTTATCTAATGTTGGTAAACTTTCCTCTTCCTTTGGCGTTACCTTAGGTTCTACATCTGGCAACTTTTTTTCAACAGCAGGGTCAATTACATTTGTCTTGTTTGAATCTTCCACAATAGTCGTCTCCTTTGTCTGATCAACCTCAGTTATGTTTTCATCAGCTGACGATTCATCTGATGACTCTCTTATCTCTTTTTTAGGTTCATCTGCCACTTTTTTGATAGTTGCTGTCTCAGCTTTTTCTTGTTGTTTCGGAGTTGCATTTGGTACTTTTTTACTTTCAACTGACACTGGCTGGGCTTTTTCCTTCTCTGATGATTTCACTGGTTTGGCGGGCTCTGGCGTTTGAGCTGCATGCACCTTGGGGGCCTTCTTTGCAGTGATGAATGATTCAGTTTTAATGGGTTTTTTTGCTGACTTTGGTTGCTGTTGCTGTTGCTTTTGTGATGGCTGACGCTTGCTCTGTGAACCTTTCTTTATGGGGGTTTGAGGTGCACTGCCATATTTCTTTTCCTGCATACGCCTGTACTCGGTTTTCCCATACATGAGCTTCTTGAAGAACTCTGACATGCCCTCATCATTTTGTTGGGAGTGGTTCTTTTCTATACCACCCTCCATGCTTGTTAAATCCAATGTTACTCCTGTCTAGTTAAACAGCTGTGTATCTTGGAAACAAGTACGTCTCTAGGAATGTGCTGGTAAATACACCAGAATGACCCGTACCTGTAAGATATAAAAGAAGATAGACAGATTAGTAAATATTGATATTAGTATGAGGTCATATCTGAACCAGCTAGAACCAGTCACTATTTTTGTATCTACAATAGATTTAACCTTATGTCATACTATTGAAGAATGACACACTCTTAATTAAAATCCTTTCATCAGCTTTATGTTTGTGAAAAAATCACTGAAACTAGTTTAAACTCCTATATACAGTGCTAAGGGTGAACTTGAGACTTGGCCTTCCATCTCACACATTACCGTTCAAGTACACGCTGTAGCCTGCATATCTGGCATGAGTATGAAATCTTAATAAGTGATCAGATATTTAGATTATTCTAAACTTGTTATTTTAAGCAATGAATACATATTGGGCAGAATATCACCCTTTTGGGGTTTACATGATTATTTTATCTTACTTATATGTCTTATCAGAGACTCAACAAAGAAACCATTGATAGTGAATCTGTAGATAATTTTATGTTGGTTGTACGGAAAAGCAAAGACTTTACTGGGATTGTCATCTCAATAAAACAAATAAAACAGAATATATTTAAGCAAATTATTAACCTGTTGACTTGTGAGTTGTTAATGACTTGACAAATGATATAAATGTCTGTTCATGTCAATATATATATATATATACAGACAGTTGATTTATCGACATTTGTAGTAGATAGATATTATTAGGGAGCAAAATGGCAGCTGTTCGAATTATAGTGTATCCATGAAACTTCCATTTCCATAGTTTGTTTACTCTTTTTAAATGCCCACTGTGGAGTTGCCATGAAACCAGTCTATCTTGCATATACTGTATTCACTCAAAGAGATTGTTTTTTTTTCAACCACCCACATTACATCGCGATTTCAAAAGACATAACACTTCCGGTTCCGGTCTTCATCTACTCGGATTAGGTACTAACTGTGGGGTGTGCGTGCACAGAGAAATAGACATTTCATTTATGTGTTTAATGGTTACCAGAACTCTATTCCTGTTTCGCAAGCCATCGTGATTACTTAGAGATGTATTTGTTTGCATCATGTACACTAACATATTTTTTTCTAAAACCAAAAATTCAATATAATCACGACCATAGTTAGTAAAATCACTTACATATGAATTGTATCGAATTGCCTACTCTGCCTGGGTCATAGTGCTTGATGGTATTACAGAGCAATTCTAGGGACAGACCATTAATTATATTATTAGAGGATTGTACTAGAGTTAGAAGAATTAAAAACAGGTAAATCAAATCAGATAAAAGTAAGGTTCAACAGCGTTCAATAATTGGCGCACAGATTGTAACAATAGAATACTGGGAATATACTAATTTAGTTCTTATCCCAGAATAATTAATGGTACACCCCTTAAAAAATATTTACATTTGATTTCTATACTACACAGTCAGTCGTCCTATCTCAAAACACTGACATATGGTAAAAACAGTGATAAGGTTATACATTTTATTCGATATTATATTTTGATATCACGCTAGATTATGATATATTTGTTTCACGATATAATAAAATATGGAATTATGTTCGCTATTAATTACTGGTACATATTATTAATTAAAATCACTTTGCCTCAAATACCATTTTGTTTTGCTACGTAAATATTTTATTTTTTTATTTTTCAACAAGTCACAGTTCATATTACTCAATTCAAATACTGACAAATATACAAAATTATTCATTGTAAAATATGATTTGTTGTGTTGTTATGGAAACCATCTTTAAATATTTTGCATATTACTATTATGTTAATGTCTACTAATAATGTAGATGGACAAGTTTTCGTTTTGGCGTTTTTTTCCATATGAAAACTCCCTCTATAATGCCTCTGAATTGATAATTCGTCCGGTATCAACTGGTCGACATGAGTACCGCGCCGCTTCGTCTGTAGCGTGCGTGTGTGCGTGCCTGCCTGTTGGCGATTGTCTGGAGTGGCAGACGGCACAGTCACCCCTCGTTTCGCTGTCGTCCGGTGTGCATGTGTGAGAACACATGTGATCCGTTCAAAGGTCGAAATGTCACATAGATATGCGATTGGTGGGAATAATTTTCAGGTACCTGGAGATTGTGAATTCGCACGACACACCTGTTCAATTTATCGTATATTAATATTTTATTTTCATCCATGCCAGTCGTTTCCGAAATTATGAAATATATCATCAAAACAATGCTTGCTTAAGTGTCCTATTGTTCATATCGATGACAAGATAAAACACACCCGTAAAAATTAGGACGAAAACAGCATTTACAAGTAAACATTTCTCATGGATATCAGCCCCATTTTTGCAAAACATACCCGAGTCACGCAAATGTATGTTGACCCGTTAAAATTCGGAAGTTACATTAACCATATTTTCCGAATTTTAATGTATTAATATGTGAAATGGTATGAGCTAAACATGGTAATACTACGCCGTTCATTGCGAAATGTACATTGAGCATGTCTCGACATGGCGATGGGTGAACTGGGGGACACGCCACGATGGGGACAAAGTTTAAGCCACGCACACTGCCGTCGAAAACTACGAAGTTCCAAAAAGCACACATATCGTAACTTACGGAGAAATCACAGTCCCCCCCCCTCCCGCCTCCCAGTTAGAAAAGCTGTGCAGACACATGTCAATACGTGCCACCTGTTACTGACCCTTCTATCACGACTTAATTTCAAATCGTAAAAACTTACCCGCAAAGCACTCCAATAACGGTGTATTTCAAAATAGGATCGGTGTTACAATGCTCGGTGATTATATCGGGGTCCAATTAAAACCATAAAAGTTCTCGAAACGGTTTTGTTCACCAGACACGCCAGCTCCACCGTCTTTAAACAGAAGCGGACATTTTGTAAAAAAAATATCTTTTGTGCACACGTAGAATGTGTGTTTTTTCAGCCCGACCCCAGTTAATATTTAAACCCACGAGCTTAAGTATTAGTCATCGTTTGCATGCAGCCTTCGAGTGGTTGCTCTGTAAATCGCTGATGGTGTTCGCACCAAACAATCGCGTCATTGTTTATTCTAACGATCTACCGTTAGATAACATTTTTCATCTACTTTGAAAAACAAAACAAAGTTGACATCCGTCCCGCTGCATTATGGGTAGACGTATAATAGAAATATCGCTATGATGTGTGGTAATTGGATTTAAATATTTTCACCACGCCCACGACTTTGATGGTGGACATTGATACCTATGCATCATTTAACGACAACTTTATTGAGGAGAAACCAAGGCGAATAACATGTGAATAGCCGCGTTTGAACTTTATTTTCGCGTGAAGAATTAGATATTATTATTATTAGAAACTTTTTTTCCCGAAAACGCACTACACATAAGTCCCGGCGCATTGTACAAAACGTATTAAAACTTGTATTGTTGAAAAGTTGAAATTCACAATAGGTAATTTTATTCAAAGAATAAGTTTTTAAACTTCGTTTAAAAATGTCAGTACGAGTATCACACCTTAATTGGTTTCATAAAAATAGCGCGCAAACAGAAAAATCTCGTTGACCCTAGGATGTAATGAATTTACCACACATGGAAACAATCTTAATTTTTCGACTAAGTGAAGATCTCGGCCTGGGACATACAGAGTCGTCAATTATTGTCGAGCAATGGCTTTGAGGATTTTGAATGTGACCAACAATACCTTGACATGTATATGAGCTTCAGTTTGGGGGGGGGCAGTGGAAGTCGGTAAGTATGAAACGCGCTGTGGTATTTTCGACAATCTGCCAAGTGGGCTGAGTTTGTATTTGGTGATGGAAAAGGAAGGAGAAGACGTCACGAACGCATAGATGAGTCTATCGGTGGTACTTGTGTCAAGTAGTTTGCGAGTCTCGCTAGTTTTGTGCAGTCAGAAATAACCGTTCCCGCAAAGATTGATCATTTGACCCGACATGGACTCATCATTTAAGGGGTTTAACAAAAAAAAAAAAAAAACGGTAATACTTGAATGAGCCTATCCGCATTTGCAAAATAATAAGATACTAATAATTTGTTTCTCTATCAATGTCAAGTTCACGTGAATGCTAACACTTATGGATGATGACATACCAGAGAAGCGACAAATATCCGATTATAAACGAGCCATCTTTTTTTCGAATTTCTGAATATTCAATGATTTTAACTTAATAGCAATAAAACACCAGTCTTGTTTGATGTCGAATTAATAACACGATCGAAGCGATACAATTAGAGCCTTGACTCGTCCATTTTGTGTCGCATCGGGTCGAGAGAACCGTATTAATGATGGGGGTTACCTTCAGTTGTTGGACTTCACTCGGCAATTAAGACAAACAACGCGGCGTGGTGGTATCACGTGTCACGACAAGTGTGGCGTGGCTGCGAGCATGTACTTAGGCTGGTTGGGGTGAGTGAACTATATCAACAACATCGACCGTGACGGCTAAAAAATCAATCATCGGTACAACAAAAATAAAAATAGGTAATACCAATAATTAAAGAATTGTAGTTTCGTGGATAAATGTCATGGCATTTTGTTAGATACCCGTGTGTGTGTTCCCAGAGGTTTAAATTTAGCTATAAGAAAAAAACATCGGTTATCTACAGCAAAATTAATAAATAACCTTTTCTTTAAAGTAATATCGCAAATAAGTTATAGTCCCACCATGCCGCCAGTTATAACGTTTTTCTTCTGGGGCCTCGTTCTGAGTACGAGCATCTTAAGTATTTTTTCAGGCAGGTCTCCATAAAAGATTAATATAAGGTTTTCTCTTGTCGTTTCTACCTCTGTGGAATGGAACGGATGTGACGTTATATCCCGTGTTATATTTAATTATAGAAATAACATAAGCCTGACACATACTTGTTGGTGGTTGTAAATAGTTAATAACCCTCGAATGAAACAAGCAACACGGTGGTATATCTAGATGACCTTTTGTATAACTTCGACTACGAGACAGTAATGGACCCAATTGAAAACACAAATAAATATTTAATTTCCGTTTTCCGTCTAACATATCTAAAACTTTGAAACTTTGTTTTTGAAACAAATAACCCATAAAGTGATATTTTCAACAGATAAACAAACTTTGAAAGTTCGCGGCATGCGAGACTGGTGTTTGAAAAACAAAGTACAAATGACCTCCCGTCGTTCGTACGTTAATTAATTAAGAAAATGTTGTCAATGTGAAATTAAATATAATGGTTATTATAATTATGGGAGAAAACACCAGTCGGCCATTTTGTATCGCATTACCAAACAAGCCACTGAAATTTACACTGCACAGTGGGCGTGTTCACCCACCAACATAGAACATTAGCTGATTGGTCCAATCGTTGTCATGGCGACAAGGTAGACTACTACATCTAACAGGACGTACAGTAAATCAAATCTGGAATATAATTGTTGAGAACTTGAGTTGAAAACATTGAATAACAATATTTGTTTGCCTTGAAGTTATTTGTTTACTTTTACCAATAACACATAGACCTTAAGAACTCCCCTCGGATCTATTTTTAGATCAGGTAAACATATGAAGTAGCAAAGTTTATTGTAAGAAACCGACATATGGCAGTCTCCCAAATAGAAATTGTGAAACGTTTGATTATGTGTAGTGGATTTAGTATTAGAAATTTATAAAATTTATTACATTTTCAAACGTTAAATAAAAACACTATAGACAACGTTTCGTGAATTGAAAAAAAAAAATATTTGTGTTTGACCATCGTCCGAATCGCACGGTTTTGTTAAAGCCGCCATCAATAACCGGCGCACGAACCCGTGGTTAATGTTAAGGCTTCGGCCGAGTAAAATGGTCCTTGGCTGGCGAAGATGGTGTTCGACGCATTTCGTTGTTTCTCAGATACGAGATTCGATTATGTGGCGCTTTAGCTAAATTAAGATTCCATTTTATTTTTTCTCGGTCTACTGGGTCCTGGAAAATGTTATACTTTAAAGGGTGTATCCGCTCTCGCATTTAAATACTGGAAGCCGTGAAGAAAAACAAATAAAAGATAGGGTGTTGGAGGTAATGTTGGTGGCGCTCTGTTCAATGATAGCACCATTCTTTGGTGACCTTTTATGTACTTCCGGTCACATGTGGTCTCACATGTACAGTGTTTTGGTTTCGACGGAGGTAAGCGCACGCTGTATTTGTGACAATCATCGTTTTTCCGAAGACAAAGCATCGTTGACAGTCGCCCGAATTATAACAGACTGAGTGAGTAACGTCGTACCGCGTCACTGTGAGTCTAATTACTGATTGTCAGGTCACGTTGATCAATGAGAAATGATGGAGATGAAAATTGCAATTTAATAATCCACAGAATAGTGTGTATTATGGCAAAATTACAGACACTGACAAAGCTTTATTTGAGGACGCTCAATTCGCAATGGATCGTGGATATGCGGACATTCTCGACTTCAGTGCTTTCATCTCTGAACCAGAACCACCGTCGTCCTGCGGATACTGATGATGTTGACAGTTTTCGCTGCGTAGAAACTCATTCGGAAACCGAAGACGTCTGCCTGAATCCCGCGAGATACGCAGCAAGCCGCATTACAATCCCGGTAACGCCACGAAAAAACAGATCTAACCAGGAGATTGCTCCTCTGAATGGTCGCCACAGCAATGATGCGAATGCTGCTAAGAAGGGCAGTTTTATTAGACGTAGAAGTGACGAGGACGTGACCCGGGTGATCCGGAGTTATTCCAAAAAGCAAACACGGGTGGATAAAATATCAAATATTATAAAAGAGAATGAAATGGTTGCCCATAATATTGATGAAAATGACTGCAGTAATGATATTCTTTATAATACGAGAAGCGATGATTTGTTGAAATCTGATAAAGACACAAAAACACCATGGAAACCCCAGAAGTTGAAAGGTAAACAGAAATGGTCCAACAAACACAAATCAAATGGGTAAGTAAACTATTTTAAGACATATCAGATCACTGATTACATTTTTCAATTTTTTGAGGGGTCAGTCAGTCAGTCAGTTTGTATTGTATTGTGTCAATAATAATCCTAATGTCTGAAAATTTAATGACACCAAATGTATCAGAAATGACTAAAATACCATCACAAAGACTATAGACCGACGCAAGAAGAGCTATGGACCCACAGCTACTAGTATATTCTAATGTGCGCAGTGATGTAGTTGTCAAGGCAACCGTTATATGTAGAGTAGACTGGGGCTGTGAAATAGAACCTCCTTGTCAGAAGGGATCGTACGTCCACTGTAGTAAGACATGTTTTTCATCTGAGCTGGAAACTCATCTGTTTTCTTTTTTAAAGCTGTTATTCTTGCAGTCGTTCTACAATCGCTGCAAAGCCTTTTATTTCAATGTTGTATTTACATTCCCCCTCCATTGCTCTATCTGATAATAATTTTAATGAACATAGTATTAATTTCTAGGATTATGAACGGCTGGAAGCCGAGGCCTGGCAATGATTTATTATTTGGACTGTCACCCTCTATCATCGCTTTGACACAAGATAGAAGATCCATCTTTAAAGTTTTCATCCAAGATGGACTAATGAAGACAAAACGTGGAGGAATTTTGAAACTTCTAGAGCTCTGTGAGGAAAAAAATATTGAAATATCGGCAGTTAAAAAATCTGATTTGAATTACATAAGTGGAGAAAGACCACATCAGGTAATACATATATGCAAAGTATGGTTACCATTACCCAAAACTTAGTTGAAAGTCATATTCAATTTCGAATCTGAATCTTAGAACGTTTGTGAATTATACTGATCAAAACATGATGTATTATACCATTATTGACTCATTTATCATTGCCTTCACTTGAATTTTGCTTTGGGAGCATGCTAAACACAACTAATCTAAGAAGTACATAATGTTCGCTATTTGCTCAATAGCAGTGTCATAAAGAGTAAAAAGTCATTGTATAAAATCAGATATGGGGGGGGGGGGCTAATGGCTATTCAGAAAACAACTCCAGAGTGTGGTGTGGATCTCAGACTAATCTTGGTGGAAAATGCTTCATATCAAATATTATCTTTGATCATCGATCAGAGAATCTCGTTTGCGATTGGGTGGTATGGATGACCCACTCGTAAGAAGTTGAAAACTAACACAATTTCATATTTTGAGAATGTTTGTGAAGACAAAGTAGTTTTGACTCCCTAGGACTGCAGTGAACAGGCAAAACTCATGAAAAGTTGTCTTTTCTCACAAAGTTAAACCTATAATGTTATGTTGCATTCTGTAGCATCCAAGATAACATTCTATGTTGATTTCTAAACAGGGCGTGTGTATGGAGGTGAGCAGATTAAACTTCGAACAATTTCCAGAAAGTGAAGACATAGGTAGTGAAGGTGATGAAAAACAAGTATGGCTGGTATTGGATGAAGTCAAGGTAGTAACACATGGGACATCGATATCTATAATAAATGCACTGTTGTCTCTGTAATTCATTACACTATACACAAGAGATGTATTACAATTAACTTTCCCCAAGAGCTTGATATCAATGTGGAATTTGACTGACCTGAAATGCCAGATGTGTCATAATTCTAAAACTTTGTTACTGTAAAGCACTTTTTGGGAGTTTATTTGCACTCATTTTTGAGTTAAAGTTTTGAAAAAAAAGGTATATTCGCTGGATTTTGTTTTTGCTGAAATATCTCCAAGTAAAAATATTTTACAGTATCTGGTAATCATTATGCAAATTAGGATGCAAGGATATGTATTCCAAAACAAGTAGATCTGTAATTCACAGAACTATAGATTATCCCAAAGTGGCATTCTGATTTTCACTTAAAGTAGTCTTGATATATTATTACAGCAATTCCAGGCACTGATTTGACGCTGAAGTAGTGCTAGATGTTGATAACTTACTACAATAGGTTAATACACACTTTGTTTTCACATTTACATAAGTTGTAACTAGAAATATAAACATAGGCTGCAAATCAGAGGAATGATTGACAGATATTGCCTACAATGTTTTCTATTTTTGCTACAAAGTCAGGTACACCTAGACTTTTGTCTTCAGTCACTTTTAGTCAGTCATCGTGTTGATTGCGTGTCTACAAATCGGCATTTGTCAAAGTTGTTTAAGCACCACGATGGAGAAGCAAGGAGTTAAAAAACCAGTTGAAGTGAGAACAAGAGTTGTCGATTTGTATTTTCATGGACTGTCATTTGCTGAGATTAGAGATCGAAATGGTGTTTCAAAGCAGACAACTTATATTATCATCAAACGGTTTGTAACCACCGAGAGTATCCTGCCAGGAATCTGACAACGTTATAGACTATGTTGAATATTATAAAACATTGCGGCCGCTCATTTACGGACGGGAAATTCGACAAAAACTACTTGTGTATGGCGGCAACCCTCCCGGACGTCTGATCGTGTGTTGCCAGTGATAAGCTTTTTAAAGCGATTATTTGGTGGCACATCCACAACCATCTCATCGTCGAGAACTAATTAATAATCGAATAACACCTATTCTACTTATGTATTCAATTTCATTGTTGCAGACAGCTTTCAGTTATATATCGGCGTGATACGGATATTTCCATAGTAGGAATAATGCACTTTGATCAATAATTCTGTCATGATCAGTCGGTCAGCTGGTTCTGTAAAATAACGTTCTTTACAGTGCCACCACTTTATGAACTCACTGAAATGACATGTGACACAAATTGAGGCTGGAAACTAAGTTGAGAGCCTCGGTCGTTTATTGGAGGAGAAATTTAAAACTAATGTACCGCCATTTTTATGGGCGAAGCTTTCTTCCGATGCACTTCAAATTGCAGACATTCTGTCTGCATTATTTGTAACAACTTCTGTGAATTTGAAAACAAAGTGTGTAACTTATTGTAGTAAGTTATCAACATCTAGCACTACTTCAGCGTCAAATCAGTGCCTGGAATTGCTGTAAAACAGACACACAGACCTACACACATATATGCATTTTATTAATTAAAACTTGATAATTTTTTTTAATGCATATCTTTTGATTTATGGAGTCTGTAAATTTAGTTTTAAAAAATACAATTTACTTTTAATCAAATTGATATTTTCATTTTTATCTACGTAGTTCAAAATATCCTTTTTGTGAAAAACCTGCAATATTTTTTTTTTATTTCAGGACCCCATGAATTTTGGTGCCATTCTTAGATCTTCGTATTTTCTTGGTGTCGATAAAATAATTACTGGAAAGAAAAACTGGTAAGTCTCCAGTCCCAAATAACCCTTACACCTGATTCCATGCACCAGCTCTCATTTGGTTCCATTATAAAGTTTACGACGTATAGAATACTAGTAGAAAGCATTCCCTGAGGTTTCTAAGAAACTGGAATCACAGTGGATCGCACTTTCGTTGTAAAATAATGAATGGTTTACAGAAAACACATTTTTATGGCATATTGAAACTTTCGTCAAGTTAAAGGGCGGTAGTTGTGGTTGCGGCACATGCGCGAGTTATGGATCTCATATAAACAAAGATGGCAACATTGACTGTTACGCAAACCAAATTCAGAGGTAACCAAGCTTCAAGTATATATTTTTTGTGTTTTAAAGGTTTTAAGGATTTGCCGGCAGTAATTAGTTTAAATAGGCCCAGGCCAAAACTAGTACCGGTAGTTGTGATTTCATTTGCAAAGCGCATTGGATTATAGGAAAAATCAATATTTATCAACACAAATGTCGTACATGCATGGCAAAACGACTATTGCCCTTTAAACTTTTTCTTATATTTGGTCGATTTGAATTTGTTCTGTTTCTCTATCAATATTCTCTCATGCTTTTTCAGATTTCTTGTTTTATAATCAATACAATGTTTGTTTGTTTGTTTTTTGTTTTTTTTTCCCAGTTGCCCATTAACACCAATAGTTAGTAAAGCTAGTGCGGGTGCCATGGAAACCATGCCAGTTTATGCTGTTCCAAGTTTGAGTGATTTTCTTAAGGTAAATTTAGTTTTATTGCTAGCACATCAAAATTTCACGAAGTGTTTGGTAGTGAAGAAGTTTAGTAATATATTGATATTCTCAGTTGCATGTTTTGCTTTTCACACGTAGAATTCATTTTTGTCATTTATGAATAAAAAATAAATTGGAGTGATTAGCTGGCATTTCAATATTAAGTGAAAATAAATTCTGACTAAAATAAAGAACTCTACAGGTTTTGTGATGGTAATAAGCATACATGATCACTTAATTAAAGCTATTATAATAGTATATGTTTATTTCGATTTCCAGCCACTGAGAGAAACAGTTTTGCCTTTAAAATTATAAATTTGTCAACCTGACCCACGATGTCATGAATTCAGTAGCCAAGAATTTCGAGCAATATTATAGTTAAAGGTTGCCAAGATTGTTTGCCTTCACTATGGGTCCCATACTACACTAATATGCATGCGTGACGAATATGTTGTATGTTTCACGACAACAGCCGTCTTTTAACAATTTATTTGATGGATCTGATTGCCGTATTACATTGCATTTCAGAATCTTGGTAGCCATGGATGGGAAATCATTGGCACAGCGAATAGACGTAGTGTAACGGACGCCATGCCGGTCGTTGACTGCGACCAATATTGTATTTCTACTCCCTCAGTGCTTGTTCTAGGTAACAATTAACTATAAATCCTGTAATTGTAAGTGATATAATCTTAAAAACTGATATCTGATATCGACAGGATCTCTGCTGCAGAGAATTATAATCGAAATTTCCCGATTATCAAAATATTCGCTGAGAACAAATTATGTTGAAAGTATATTCATACTTTCGTGTTAGTCAATACAAACAAATAATAATCAAAACTTTTGTTTATGTTACAGGAAATGAAGGATATGGACTTACTGATGCTGTCATGGAAACCTGCACCAAGATGGTGACTATACCTCCTGGCAGAGCGTTGAATCAGTACATTGAATCGTTGAATGTTTCGGTTGTCACAGGTAGATATATTTTTCATACATGCAATTTCATGTTCATGTTCATGTTCATGTGCCTGAGCAGCATGATTGGTGCCATTATTGTGATTTTGTTATATGCCATACATTTGTGATAGACACCTTGTATATACCATGAATGAATCATACAATAACATTAATTTGTTTGTTTGGTTTGTTCCAGGAATTCTCTTGTACTCGTTACTTGCTAAAAAGGTGTAATCATCAAGATGGAATAGATAGTGGATTGTCTTGTGACGTTGAAATAAAGGGTGTGTCACTCTCCTGGAGATCTGCTAAAGCATCGCTAATGTCCCCAACTGAGGACCATTCCCTGTTGGCTACCCGAGTTTCAAGTCACTTGTTTGTAATATACATGATAATAAAGATTCAAATTACCAAACATCCATAATGTATAATTTCATTTTTTTTTTCGCTTTTGACTGACTCACACTATAGTGCCATTCGTTTCCTGGTGAGTCTTGATTCTCTAGTGATCCTTGTTGAGTATTTAAGTAAAAAAATAGTGTTAGTAAAACAATTAACATACTGATTTGAGTTGACCCGCATCATCAATTCTCCATGGTTGGAAGGACATCAATCTGATTCAAATGTAATGTAATGTAATGTATGGCGTGTATGTAGTTTTATTCTGTTTTCGACTTCTTGATAACTATAATTGCGTGGAATTCTGTGAGATTTGTAACCAGATAATAACAATAGTAATTGCCATGGCAACAACCATGTAAAGTACATGTACCATGGTTGTGACACAGGGAGCCCAGGAACTATGATCAACTGTACGCACTCCCTATGAGGGGGGGGGGGTATCGGCTGGTAACTAGTGTAAGAAATAGACAAGGGATGAAGGCACCAGCCAGCTCATATTTTTTAAACTGGAAAAAACAGACTAACAGAATGAAAATAAAATCTATAAAAAATACCAGGTTGAAGAATATTAGTTGATCTTTCAAATTTTGCCAAATCCTTACCTATATTTTACCTATATCTGCAGATTAAATCAAGAAAACTACACAAATTGACTCCATTTACGAATAATTAACGGTTCGCTCGAACACATGGCACAGTTGGAGGCGTGGCCTGTTCAGCATTTGTTAACAACCAATCATAAGACTGGTTAGCCTTGCTCAACTGG